ACACACACACACACACACATACACACATACACACATACACTCATTGTTTTCTGCTACACTGTCTCAAAGCTTCAGCACAAGAAAATCAGCATTTGGGTAAGCATTTGTAATGGAGATATTTACCATTCGCAATCAGCTGTTTCAGAAAAACCAAATAGCAACAAGTCAATTAAAATTCCAAACATAACGATTAAATAATATTTGAAGTGGGTCATTTCTTTTTTTCTATTTTTGCCAACTGAATGGCAAAATAAATTATTTTAAAACAGGTTGCAATAAGTATTTTCACCTTTGCCTGTCAACCAAAAATATGTACATTATGCATGTACATATTATTTATTTACTTTATTTATTTATGCATTTATTTTTATTTATTTATGAGGGCTCTCAATGTCCAGATCTGCAGAACAATCAGATGATAATGTACAAAAAAAGTGTATTACAGATCAACATTTTACTATTATTAACTCTATAAGACTGTTTGAGTGTCTTTCTTTCAAAATCGCTTTACCCTCTCTCTCCATACCTAATTTTGAAAAAAGATTGAGAGGAAGTGAAGTAGTTTGTTATGTAAACAGTCTTTTCATTGGATGTTACTCATTCCAAATCATTTCACTAAAGGTTGGAAAGAGGAAGGGAGGTAAAATAAAAGGAGAGAGGTCAGTGGGAAATATAATTAAGAGCTTAGCACCCCTTTCTCTCTTCCTGATACTCTAAAAGTATTTATTTATCAAACTCCAGCCCTGTAATCCCATCCCATCGCTCTGATCTGCTTATGGAGGAGGTAAAATTCCTGCAGATTCCGTCTTTGTTTCCCGTAGCTGAGCTGACTAATCCCGCTCCTCTGCTCATCTCCTCTGAGTGCTGATCTTTGAACTTGAGTGTGATGAGAGTGCCGCTAGTAGCGCAGCTGGTGTGATGTGTGTGTGTATCTCTATGTGTCAGGAGTTGGGGGTATTCATGACCTTTAACTGACTTAACACTTAACCAAGATGATTCAAATAATATGACTTTAATTCTAACTGCAGACAGGGGAAAACTCTGCAGGGCGCATGATAACTATTGAGAGCAAACACTTTTTTTGCATATTTTCTGCATCGGTTGTGGTGAAAAACATGTTTTTTTGGTAAAAACATTAAACACATTAAACTGATCAAAAGTGACCATAAAGACATTTATAACGGTACAAAATATTTATGTTTTTATAAGATTTATTAACTTAAAATGAATAAAAATAAATCCTGACAGAAAACATAATAATAATAATAATAATTTTAGCTGTTAAAAGGGGCACAACAGAACATTATAATATATATATATATATATATATATATACAGTGGGTACGG